AGCCAAAAAACGGGGGCTCTTAATACATTTGACCCTGTGCCCCAAACTTGGGAACATAGCCAGATTTTTAAAGCCTTTCAAAAGGCCCATAGGGTTGGAGCCATTCTAATCTCCAAAGTGAGAATATTCTACAGAGTAGGGGCTACTGCAGAAAGGCTTGTCTTCTAGCCTATGCTCATCAACACTCCTTGGCGGGCGGGGGTCTGCAGCATGCCCAATCTGCTAGATCGAATTGGGAACAAAATATTGAAGCAAAATAGAATGCAACAATAATGTATGCATGTTATCTGACAGCATCCACTTTACTTCTAGACCTCACCACAGAAAGGGATCCAGGGATCACATGAAAGGGAGGGGGAGGGAGAGATTAGTAGTTAATAGAAAACTAAAGGAGAATATATCAGAGATGCCCTCAACTTTGGAAACTCAGCTTGAAAAACAAAGACATTCTGAACTGGACTACTTAGTCCATGGAAATGAATCTGCCATTAGATTATTACAAAAATGCATGGAATCTTTACTCTAACCATTCAAATAATATTACATTGTATCTGTGAAATAGCTATATTACAACTAAAGCACATGGAAATTGGGAGATTCAGATTGAAGAGAAAAAGTCAGGACTCACAAAACATATGCAAAACTATGAGTACACAGAGCAAATAATTGAAGTAGTAATGATTTCGAAGCCTGTAGTGAATACATCAGCGTTTATAGAAGCATGTACACACATTTGCTCATTTACAGAAAGAGCAGTACTGTAAGGCTTCAGTTTCCAGATGTTCACAGTCAGCTTCCCATTCCTTTGCTTGGAAACAACTAAGTTTTCTGCTTATGGGGACCCAGTGCTTAAAGTCAAAGCTCCCTTAAGTCAGGATCACAGGCAATGACAAGTTCTTGTCATTCATGAAAATAGTCTACAATGCTGTATTTTCCTAGTGGCAATATGGAAATGGCTCATCAGTCCTTTTTCAATGTTCCAATCTATACTGCCAACCAAATTAAATCCTGATAGTTTATCTAAATACCAATCTGATTTTAATCTTGTTTAATTGTCGGAATTAATCAATATTCGCTGGACACTGCCACTTGTAGACACTTCAACCGTATTAGGTTATAACCCAAAATCCATTCAACAAATCATAGTAGCAAATGATCTATCACAGAGGTTCCCAACCTTTTGGGTTTGGCAGCCTGGAAATGGAGGCAGGCATTGTTTCGCACATGTGCGTACCCACAAATGGGAGGGGACACTTGGGGTGGGGCGGCGCTAGCGCTAGCAGGACACTCAGGGCGGCACTAATGCCAGTGGGATGCTCGAGGTGGTGCTAGTGCCGGTGGGACGCTCGGGGCTGGGCGGTGCTAGCACCGAGGGACACTTGCAGCAGCACTAGTGCGAGTGTGGGGAGTGAGTGCATGCATACACACACGTGTGCTGGCCATCCCTTTATGTGGCCCAGTGGCCAAAAGGCCAAGGCCCAATAGTGGCCCACGGCCCACAGGTGGGGACCCTAATCTATCAAAAAGCAATCAAAACCCTTTAAATATTTATCTGTATAACTGTTAATGTACAAACATACAAGTTCCTATGATGTGTATGTCAAGAAATGCAAATTATAGACAAATTCATATATCCACTACTTTTTAAATCAATTCTCTTAAAAGGACAGGCAACAATTCAAATGGGACTTATAGAAGAACTCAAAGCAAGATGAACCTATGGAAATATATACTGTATATAGCTTCAAAATGCTACCTCTCTCGCTCAATAAAACTGAACTAGGACAAATACATAACTACACTTTAGCAGTGAAATGGATGAATGTATAATAAATAAAAAACAGTCTTGATATGAATAATGCAGAACTCCAAAATCACAGAACACTTTTGAAGTAATACTTATTTCCTTTGTTTTTCTCTCCACCTTCTACCAGGATTTACAGAAAGAAGCATAAAAGTAATTCTGTATCAGAGAATAAATCTAATTAAAACCTGCCCAGAACAGAAGACTTAGATAAATTGATTGTAAAGAACCAATAATTGTAAATTCAGAACATTGTTGTAATATGAAAGACGTAATGGACAACAATTAGTCAATCATGTAATCTCTCAGGCACCTATTTTACTTAATAAAGACGTAAAAGAATGAAGAATTAACATATGCATAGGCCAAAGAATAACATACATTGTTTCCTGACTTTTGTAATCCAACTTTAAAAACAAAAACAAGAAACGAGCATCTATGCCATTCTCTTATTGTGTCTTAATATCACTTCTTGGATCTCTGGAACACCAAATAATAATTAGCACAGCAGACGAACACTTGTTATACTACAAATTGCCCAGCATACTGGAAAAATTACCAAAGTATCCTTCTTTGTTCTAGCTGCAAATATGAGATGACTAAAAATATTGCCAGAATGAAAGCATAACAATTCTAACTTGAGACTACAACATGGACATACTATTAGGCACTTTTGTGATCCCAGAAAGGAAGCTTCAAACTGATATCCAGATAGCGAATTTTAATCATTCAAAAAGGTGCTGACTGTATCTCAGATACAGCTACCCAGAAAATATCCATCAGGATTCCTTGTGGGCTGCTGCTGCTAAGGGCAAGACTACCATGAAGATATAAAAGTTGCTTTGCCCCAAGATACAAATCAGAGACACATTACTTAATAGTGGTATTTGATTTATAACACTTCAACCCAAATACCAAGCAAACATCTCTGAATCCTGTTATAAGAAGCTATTTGGTAAGAAAAAAATGCGAGTATGAACCCAGAAGCTTACACAATTTTTTAACATTTCTAAGAACTCTGCTTACATTATTAATCTATTCCTTCTAACACTATCTACAGTAACAGAATTTTAGACATAAGTCTAAGTAATTCTACTAGGAGATATAAGCAAAAGAACCTGGCATCTTCCCGTTATATCACGAGACACATCAATGATCTCAAGTGCTTCCAAAACTAAATGATAGTGTTTGTTAGTACTAAGCAATTTTTAACAATGGTTTGGTTCCAAATCCTCTGCCTGCCAAGTTATTATTCTCCTGACTTCCCAAAGTTTTATTTAAAATAATGTATAGCTATTTTTGCAACATGCTTGGAGACAGATTCAAACTAAACAGGGAATGACAAAAACAGAAACTTCCCTCTTCCAAAGTTTAAGGCAACATACTTTTCTCAAATCTAGTAACTCCGATTATAAAATGTCTCCTGCTTTTTAATTTATTCTTCCTTTATATGTCGTGCAAATTATCTAATATCGCAGCTTGTAAAAGTATCAAGAGTTAATTATACTCATTGTGCCAAAGTATAAGAATGGAATCCAGAGTTGCTCATCCTATCCCTAAAAATCTTAATCTAATAAATGGTAATTAATATTTGTAAGAACCATACTATAGCACATGAACTGTGCTTTCCTTCTGCTGCTGATGAGTCTGGATTTAATTGCACGACTGATGGTTTGTATTTTATTTAGCTTTACTTTATTGCTATATCAGTATGGCATTAGTAGTGAGGTAAGAGTAGTCCTTAAATTACAACCATTTATTTAGCAACTGCTCAAAGTTACAACAGCACTGAAAAAAGTGATCATGACTTTTGACATTGCATTATATGATCAGAATTCAGGTGTTGGTAACAGGAACGTATTTATGTTGGTTGAAGCATCCTGGGATCATGTGACTGATGTTTACAACCTTCCCAATTGGCTTCCAATAAGCAAAGTCAATTGGGAAACCTAGATTCGCTTAAGAATTGCATGGTTCACTTAGCTGCATTGATTTGTTTAACCATGGCAAAACAGGTCATAAAATCAGACATGACTCACTTAGCAACCATCTTGCTTAGCAACAGAAATTCTGGTCTCAATTGTGGTCATAGGTTGAGGACTGCCTATACTGCTTAACTAATATTGACAAACTGGTGTAACTGCAACAGAATAACAGAGTTGGAAGGGACCTTGGAGGTCTTCTAGTCCAACCTCCTCTGCTCAAACAGGAGACCCTATATCAGTGTTTCTCAACCTTGACAATTTTAAGGCATGTGGACTTCAACTCCCAGAATTCCACAGACAGCACTGCCCTATATGATTTCAGACAAGTGGTTGTCTAGTCTCTTCTTAAAAACCTCCAGTGATGGAGCACCCACAACTTCTGAAGGCAAGCCGTTCCACTGATTAATTGTTCTAACTGTCAGGAAATTTCCCCTTATTTCTAGGTTGGTTCTCTCCTGGATTAGTTTCCATCCTTTGCTTCTTGTTCTGCCATCAGGTGCTTTGGAGAACAGGTTGACCTCCTCTTCTTTGTGGCAACCCCTGAGATATTGGAACATTGCTATCATGGCACTCTTAATTCTTCTTTTCATTAAACTAGACATACCCAATTCCTGCAACCCTTCTTCATATGCAACATCCAAGTCTAAAACAAAACAAAGATCCAACTCCATTTAATAGATGCAATTCCATAAAAAAAGGAAAAGCACACTCAAAGACAAGTTAAACTAATTTCATGATTTTTGTGTGTAAATGTGACACTACGGATAACATAGCTTTGTTTTGGGCTCCCATTAAAAAGAAAAGTTCAATGTGCACACATTGGCCTTCCCCAAGAAAAAGGATAGCCGTTCCTTCCAAACTGCACTTTTCATTTATACTGACGATTAGTACTTCAAATAAAGGAATATTTCTTCTTCCTTGCAGATAAAACGTTTTTGAAAGCAACTGGCAAAAACTGCGTGGAGAGTTTATTCCAACCGGAATTGCAAATGAGAATTTAACAACAATTACCTGGTATGCAATCCTCTTCAGAGTTAAAAATCTCTTTAAAAAAAAAACACCAAAAACCCCCCAATCAGTTCAGTTAAATCAGCGCGCTGTTGCCCCCCAAGCAGGGAACAAGGTGAAGCTTCAATAAGATCGGACGCTTTTTGCGCCCTTTTGCCCTCTCTTTCCCTCTCTCTCCCAAACGAGGCCGCATCGACACTTACTTGGTTAAACTCCTCGTCGGCGTAGATATCAATGAGGTCTACTCCTTCCGACATAGTTTCAGGAGCGCCACGGAGAGAATCGGGGAGAAAGAGCGGCAACTGCAGGTCAAAAGTAAAGAACCGGGTTAAACGCGGACCCCCGGGAGAACCTTTCTGGCGCGGCTACGAACCGGGCCCGGCCCTCCCTCTGTTGCCGCCGCCGCCAGCGGCAAGGCGGGCCTAGGACCGCAAAGCGACCCCGCCCCCCTTTGCTCCGCGCGCATCTGAGGACCGAACCACACCAGCCCCGCAAGAGGAGCGGTCGAGGAGCAAGGTGGGAAACGGAGAATTCCTCTCCCCCCCCCCCGACGTCGGCGCCATAACTGCGCCCGCTCGCTCGCTCGCGGCAGCCATCGCCTCCCGCTTTCCCGCGCTGGGAAGGGAACCCGCCATTCCCCCCCCTCCCTCCCTCCCTCCCCCGAAGGGCCGCCACCAGACCGCCGGTGAAAAACCTCATCTCTCCCCAGCGTTAGGCGGCCCCGTTATACCGCGTAAAGGCCCACAATCCCAAGCAGGCCCAAAACGCGCGCGAACCTCTCTCTCTCTCTCTCTCCCACAGTAAGGGCCTCCTCCGCTCCGCCCCTTCCGGCTGGTCGAGTCCCGCCTGTTCCGTTTTCTAATGCTTCTCCGCGCAAGAAAGCCCGGACACCAAAACTTCCTATTTGGCTCCCTTCGGCAAGTCGGCGTTCGAACGGTATCGAACTAAGACGCATGCGCGGCCAGCTCTATGGCTAGCTGAAGAAAAGCAAACGCGTCCTGGTTCGCGTCACATGTCTATGGTCGAGAGCGAATGCTAGAGTAGCTCGGGGAGAAAGCAGGATGGCGGCTCTAATGGTTCGGGTGAGTGTGGGAGGCGGAGCGGGAGGACCGGGGAAGGTCGTTACTCTGAATGACGGTCGCTCGTATCTCCCTTTCCTCGCAGCGTGTCTTGCTGCTGCCCGGCTGTCTCTTCCGCTTGCCCAAGTGTGGATACCGCGGGGATTCTCCGCCTGACTCTGGGAAGGACCTGCTGGAGATCCCGCTCCCACCATGGCAGGCTCGGCCGCACGAGCCCCTGGCGAACAAGCGCGCGAGGCTCTTATACGAGAGCCGCAAGAGAGGCATGTTGGAGAACTGCCTGCTGCTCAGGTGGGCGGTTTTGCTTCTCTCTTTCTCAGCCAGCATGCAGAGAGTCCGCGACTTGCAACAGTTCATTTAGTGACCGTTCAAACGGCACTGAAAAAAGTGACATGACCATTTTTTTTCCCCACACTTAACAACCGTTGCAGTGTTCCCCGTGGTCACGTGACCAAAATTCGGATGCTTGGCAACTGTTGCTGTGTCCCGACGTCATGTGATCCCCCTTTGCAACCTTTTGACAATCAAAAATCAATGGGGAAGCCGAATTCACTTAGCAACCGGGTGACTAACTTCACTGCAGTGATTCATTTAACACTGGCTAGATGAAGAAAGGTCGTAAAATGGGGCAAAACTCACTAACAAATGTCTCACTTAACAACAGAATTTATGGGCTCAATTGTGGTCGTAAGTCAAGGACCACCTATACTTAGAACTGCTAATCCAGAGTCGTGCAATTTTAATTTTTACTACTGTATTATTTAGCTGAGACCCTTTTGGGACAAGCTGAATGCTAATAATATAGTAACTGTGTTTGAATATTGTGCTAATAACCACTCCTCATAACTTTCACTGGGACTCCTGCCCTGAGATATTCAACAGAGCATGGATCAGCACTTAACAAATCTTGAAAAGTGATAAGGGAGTGGTGGTCATGTGTGGTTAATATTTGGATGATAAACCACCAGGAAATCTTAGAACTGTAAACCAGAACAGGAATAATCCTGCAATGCCACAATGCCATATACTAGTGGTGGCGAACCTATGGCATGGGTGCCAGAGGCGGCACTCAGAGGCCTCTCTGTGGGCACGCATGCCGTCGCCCCAGTCCTAGGCCTTCAGCTGAGTTTTATAAAACCTTTTGCTTTAGGCCTCCGCCGCCGTGTGCAAAAAAAGAGAAAGGTTCAATCAGTCAATTTCAACTTCTCGCGGGGGGAAAAAAAGATCTTGCAAAGTTGGAATTGATTGATTGAACTTTTTAGTCCCAGTCTGCCATTACCACTGCAGCCACGCCCACCCAACGGGCCACACCCACCCGGCACTCGACGATGCGTAAGTGGGTTTTGGGTTGCACTCAGTCTCTAAAAGGTTCGCCATCACTGCCATATACATATTGCTTCTATATGGACATAGGGGGTAGCAATCAAGTTCAACTTGAGAGGATTTTCCTTATTTTATTACCTGTTGACCAAACTAAAGTTTTTCTTACCAAGTTTTCATTCATCAAGTTTACTGTGTGAACTCTCTAAGGCCTACCCATAGAGGACTAATTTGTCCTGTAAAGCAGTCTAAAATAGTAGCAATTACCATATCTTTTCCCTGTAAGATCTTGATATTAAATATGTGCTATATGACATAATATGTTCTTTTGTCTCCTCAAAGTCAACACAGAAGCATGCATTGTGCACAAAGACTTACTTAGTACAGATGTTTTTGTTATGAGTATAGATATATCTGAAAATTAAATGTTACTTGGGCATCTTCAGATGAGGTAGAGTTGGTGCCTGCCTCTTCGAATGATAATGGGCAAACAGAACTAATTAGAATCTACTAAGAAAGATAAGTTAGGATTATCTATTCCAGCGGTCCCCAACTTTTGCGACTTGGGGAGGAGAGGGGAATTGAGCCATGTGAGCTGTGGGCTGGCATGCACACAAATGCATGCATGCAGCCCTTGCATGAGTGGTGGGTCGGCATGCATGGGTGCAGCTCAGCTTGCACAAGTGGCCAGCCGGTGCGCAAATGCCTGCTGGCCTGCCGCTCACACAAGTTTAGCTGTGCATGTGCACGCATGCACATGCTCCAGCCAGCCACTCGCGCGGCCCAATTCTAAATAGCTCACAGCCCGGTAGTGGGCAGCGGCTCAGGGTTGAGGACCCCTGATCTATAAAGATATAGGAAAATTCAGGTTGTTCTCCTGTTGAGGTGTTTGACGTGTGTTTTTGATTCTTTTTTTCATTTTGTGTGTACTGGTTTTGTATGAGCTTAGCACCTTTAACTGTTTTGGTATTTAACAGTACTCTTAATTGTTTTTAATAGTCTATTTGCCAAAGAGAATCTGAATCAAATGAATGAACAACAACTGGACCTTTATGACCGACTCATAAATGAGCCTAGCAATGATTGGGACATATACTCCTGGGCAACAGGTAATGTAGAACAGTGTGTTTTGGAGCCAGCAGACTATGTAGCTCTCAGCATATTTCTAATCTCATAATAGTGAGTGAAGCAATATAGGCAATATTTGAGCCTCTGTTTCTTATCTTTATTCTATATTTCAGGGATCTTGTAGACAGACCTTTAAAAACTATAAAAGATATGTATAGGCCCTGAAACCTTATGGGAATTTGAAATACAATTTTATTTTGGAGCAGGAATACAGTAAAATGGTTAAGGATATCACTTGCTATCTTGACAACTAAGAGACTATGCAATCCTGTGCATATCTATTAAAAAGTACAATTGTAGAGATAGTTTGTGAGTCCATTAAAACTATCCATATTAATTCACAACTATTGTGATTTACAATATTATCTGCAGAATTATAGATAGAACTGAAAAGTTCATAGATGCTCATCTTTGAAAGATGCACTGGGTTTATTTAGGGCAGGCATGTCAAACTCGCGACATCACGCGATGTATCGTGACTTTTTCCCCATTGCCGGCGATGGAGTGAGCACGGTTTTGACGTGACGCATCCGGCCCATGGCCCAGCAGTTTGACATGCCTGATTTAGGGCTTTTTCCAGGTAACGAGATCTAGGTTTATAACTAAAAGAGTGGATCCTTGCTTATGCTTAAGAGTATATCTGCTGAAATAAATGAAACATGGGAGGAGTGCAGTTAATTTGCTGTGCTAAATTTAGTAGTCTTATTCCTAGCATGACTAAATCAGAATCCAGCTTTACATATGGTTAATTAACCAATATTGTAGTAACAATAACAATAATAAAGTTGGAAGGGACCTTGGAGGTCATCTAGTCCAACCCCCTGCTCAGGCAGGAAACTCTATACCATTTCAGACAAATGGCTGTCCAGTCTCTTCTTAAAAACTTCCAGTGTTGGAGCATTCACTGCATTTGGAGGCAGGTTGTTCCACTGGTTAATTGTTCTAACTGTCAGGAAGTTTCTCCTTAGTTCTAGGTTGCTTCTCTCTTTGGTTAGTTTCCATCCATTGCTTCTTGTCCTGCCTTCAGGCGCTTTGGAGAATAGCTTGACTCCCTCTTCTTTGTGGCAGCCCCTGAGATATTGGAACACTGCTATCATGTCCCCCCTCGCCCTTCTCTTCATTAAACTAGACATACCCAATTCCAGCAATCGTTCCTTATATGTTTTAGCCTCCAATCCCCTAATCATCTTTGTTGCTCTTCTCTGTACTCTTTCTAGAGTCTCAACATCTTTTTTACATTGTGGTGACCAAAACTGGATGCAGTATTCCAAGTGTGGCCTTACCAAGGCATTGTAAAGTGGTATTAATACTTCACATGATCTTGATTCTATCCCTCTGTTAATGCAGCCTAGCACTGTATTGGCCTTTTTGGCAGCTGCAGCACACTGCTGGCTCATATTTAAGTGATTGTCCACTAGGACTCCGAGGTCCCTCTCACAGTTACTACTACTGTATTGAGCAAGGTACCATGTATACTATACCTGTACATTTGGTTTTTCTTGCCTAAATGTAGAACCTTACTTTTTTCACCATTGAATTTCATTTTGTTAGATAGCGCCCAGTGTTCAAGTCTGTCCAGATCCTCCTGTATCTTAAGCCTATCTTCTGGAGTATTGGCTATTCCTGCCAGCTTGGGGTTCGTCTGAAAATTTGATGAGTTCTCTATCTATCCCCTCGTCCAAATTGTTGATGAAGATGTTGAAGAGCACTGGGCCCAGAACAGAGCCCTGGGGTACCCCACTACACACTTCCCTCCATGTAGATGCAGTTTCATTGAGGACCACACGTTGAGTACGGCCGGTCAGCCAGCTACGAATCCATCTGGTGGTGATGCTGTCTAACCCACATTTTTCTATCTTATCAAGTAGTAGGTTGTGATCTACTTTGTCAAATGCCTTACTGAAGTCCAAGTAAATTATATCCACAGCATTCCTCTGGTCCACTAATTTTGTCATTTGGTCAAAGAATGCAATAAAATTTGTCTGGCATGATCTGTTTTAGACAAACCCATGTTGGCTTTTAGTAATGACTTTGTTTGCCTCTAGGTGTTCACTAATTCGTTGTTTGATTATCTTTTCCAGGATCTTCCCAGGTATTGAGGTCAGGCTGATAGGTCTGTAGTTTCCTGGATCTATTTTTTTCCTTTTTTGAAGATGGGAACTACATCAGCTCTTTTCCAGTCCTCCATTGCTCCAGGAGCTTTGAAAAATATAGTTCAGTGGTTCTGAGTTCACATCTGCCAGTTCCTTGGGGTGGTG